AAATTGGCCACCAGCCTAAATGAGCATGTAAAGCATCCTCAAAATGACTGATTATACCTTTATTTTAAAAAATTGTTGCAAAGGTACTGTGACCCCTTAAATTTCATATAATTTTATAATAATTTTAAAACTAAATAAAATAAATCCAATGCCTTTAACATTGTGCGTAGCGTTTTTAAAAAAGTGCTTAAAGGTGCTTATTTTCGATTTTCGTTTTTTAAAAGCCCTTAAAGGTGCTTTTTTTCATTGGGCTTAATTTTCCCTTTTCGAAAGTGAGATTATTTTCTTTACCGTGTTGATTTTCGCCACGTATTATGAAAAGGCCTGCTTTTCACATTGTTCAATCAACATTTTCACAATTCATTCAACCACAATCTATTTTGGTGTACTGTCGCCCCATAGAGTATGAAAACTCAAATCATTTTAGTTGTTTTTTGAATTACTTGCTAATTTGCATATTCGTCTACTGAGCTGGGTTCGGTGAGATTATCGCACTCTCATGTATGTGCATTTTACAAGATATTCTCAATTTTAGGCTTCATTTTCCATCCTCTGATATCGAACCGAAAAATATCTTGATCATTTTATAATGGCTAATATAATTAAGAAAAGAGTTCTTTGTCAGAAACTAGTAGTTTTATATAATCATGTAAAGTCTTTGAAATTTATTTTGGATTTTGTTAATGTATGTAGTGCTTAAATTTTTTTCATAGGGGTCATTCCCCCCCCCCCCCANTCTGAAGGAAGGATTTTTTTTTTTTTTTTTAGTAGAAATAAAATATTTTAAAAATTATTTAAGGAGGTATTATATACACCTAGGTAGGTCGGAAAAATCGATTTTTATTCTCCATCTAATTATGTTCTTCACTGTTTCAAAAATCATTGTTTAAAGATTTTGAATACTTGAATTATTTATGTACCGTCATGTGGGGCTACTTTGTGCAAATTCGAATTTGGCACTTTTCAAGTGCTGCTATTCAGTATTATGTTTTTTTCACGTTAAAAATTTGTGGAATTTGAAGATAGAAGTCTCCTCTATTACTAGAAAAATTTTTTCGAATTTTATAACAATCTCAGAGTGTGTTTTGTTTATCCAATGTCAACAACTTTCCGAGAACGTCGGACGTCGAAAAGTGTGCTTGGAAACTTTAGCTGTGAAATACAAAGTCGTAAACACAATTGTCGTAAGTGCAAAACTTTTTATTTATATATTAATAAACAATTATATCATGTTAGCGTTAAAAAAAAATTGAAAATTAATAACAAATAAACGGAAAATGAAAAAAAATGCACTGTGGGGCTACTTTGTGCAAAGTTTCATTCGTTTTTTTTTTTTTCGAAGGAAAAATTGTCAGACGTTGTAAAAAAATACCTGGAACGAGAAACTACCGTGATTACACTTAAGAAAAGCTGCAACAATGTTTGCATTCAGTTGCTGGAGGTATGTCGATTGCAGAAGCTTCTCGGAAGTACAAAATCCACAGAAATACTATCTATAGTAAAATTCACAGGAAACACGTGCAACGTGCTGGGAAACTGTTATTTTTCTTCTACAAAGATTTTTCTAAAAATTAATCAAACGATTTAACACATAAAAATATATTTTATAGGACATCAGGTGATTTTGACAAACTGAAGATCATGTTCTGTCATGTTTATTCAAGCATGTTATGTTCAAATTTATCAATATAATAAATGTGAACGAGTATGTAATAATTATTATTTTTGAAATTTCATCCATTTCAATGTTCAAAAATGTATATGGTTTCCTTTTGTTTAAACTCAAATGTTTTGAAATAAACATTCTTTAAGGAAAAATTCTTTATAAAAAAATGTTTTTTTAACGCTGAAAATTATTTTTAAACTAATATCTTTACATATCTTGATGTTTTCGTTATTAAAAATGACAACAATTAACTTTTTTGTAACAATTTTATATCAATATTTTACAAAAAAACATGATTATTAAACTGAATTCCTATCGCTGCACAAAGTAGACCCACTTGGGGGCTACTTTGTACAAGGTATGTTTTGACTTATTATTTGTAAATATTACATACAAATAATGCCAATATTGATCAAATTCACTCATCTGAGTCCAGTTATGAATAAATATTTTACTAAAGTTTGAATTAACACAGCTTTTTTACATGTAAGAGTTCTAAAACTGCAAAATCCTGCACAAAGTAGCCCCACATGACGGTATTGTTCTATTGTTCATTAGGAGAAGACTAGCATTAAAAATCCCAGTTTTTTTTCAAGAAAATAATTATTTTTTGTTTTTTAAATAAAAAAAATTAATTGTGGGTGGGGGGATTTGAGTCTATGAACCCCCCCCCCATGAGAAATTTCTGGATCCTCCCCTATGTCCGATTATGCTATAATTTTGGTCGTCAAACCTATATAGAGGACTGTCCTAGAGTTTCTGATAACCGAGTTCATTGAATTGTCTGAGATTTCAAAGCCTTAATTTGTAACTGTAATTGATTGTCTTCTGCTAATACATTTTTGGACTGCTTCATTCATTTGAAATCAAAACGAACCTTCAGTACAATTTGTTTACAGGCGCTACACAGTAAATCAATTAAGTAATTTATACTGTAATTATCTGTTATTCTTATTTTAAACATACTCTTACCAGACCATAAATGTTTTAACTCCCACATTTGTTAATTTGTTTAGCATCATGCTAGTTCTCGAAGGACCTTCCATTTATGATTCATATCTACTTTTTCCACTTGCTTATATGATAAGTTATTTTTACTATCACTACTATTCTTGTATGATAAGTTACTCAGATTTTTTTATTTTATATAGTACTACAGGGTTGCCACAGGCGACTAAAATGCAACTATTTTTGGCATGAGGCGACTAAGGCAACTTTTTTTGTTGCTTGAAAAGGCTAAGAAGGCAACTATTTTCAGGAAAAGGAGACTATTAGGAGACTTTTCTGTACTCCTAGCGATTTGTTTTTTTTTTTAAATTTTTTTTTTTTAAGTATAAGTTGAGTGGAAAATCTGCACCCCACAAGATAGTTTCTGAACACACTGAACTTTTTTTTTCCTTAAAAAATAAAAAAAATGTTGAAAATTTTGAATTGCAAATTGGAGTCTTGACTTTTTAATTCGTTCAATCTGCACAGATTTCATTGTAAGTCTATTTCGTTTCTTGATCACCTTTTCAATAATTATTGCTACAAAATTCAGCATGTTTTTGAAAAAAAAAAATTTTATTACAATATTGCGATACGTGAAAATTTCGAATTTGAGTAATCAATTTTCATATATATATTTATATAAGCATTAACGTTTATATAAAAATTATCATATTTGCCACCAACTTAACTGAATGGATCATGGTATATGACGATTAAGTCACTAACAAAATTTTAATCATATTATTGATGAATTTTTGTTCTTATTTAGGCAACTATTTTCATAGTTTTCGGCCGTTATTTTCA